CTAGTGACGCTGTTTGTACTGCAGGCGTGTGGGCCCAGGTCAATTCAGATCCCCCTGTTGGGCACGGATAGGTCATGGACTCCTCCCACATGTGCATTTGGTCCCTCTCTGTGCAGGCAACACTCCCCGACCACAGGAAGGGTGACAACCACTTAGGTGTTACCACTCCCTCTCCTCCCCAAGTTGTTCTCCTGCCCCACATCACCCACCAATAAGTGTGAGCAGGGCTCCCCAGTGCTGAGAGGTACCAGCCTCTGCCAGGGAGGCATGAGCAGGAAGAGAAACCACAAATAGGGAAAAGATTTCCACTGGATTGGATCTAGTGATCATCAAAACAAGCAATAGCATTCGCTCCTGACTCACAGCTGAGCGGACATGACACAGCAAACAGAACAGTGTCGTCCGTCCGTCCGTCCCGTCCCCCCCCCCCCCCACTGTACTCCCCCTCCTCCCGCCCCACTCTTTACAGTGCCCTTGTCAGGAGAGGCCCAGAGCATCTCAGTGCAGGGCCAGTGTTTGGTTGAGTGGGAACAACTTTTGCCTAAACTTAAAGGGCTCGAGCAACACAGCTATGCCTGGGGTCCCACTACAAGGACAGTCCTTCCTCGCCCTAGAGCGCACCCTGGTACTGGAGGAACTGCAACTCCCTCCTCCCTCTGTGGTCTGGCCCCGTGAGCTGCACTCATCCCTGCTGCGGGCGGGCTCATGCCAATCCCACAGTGCAGCTCGTGGCCCTTGGCCACTCACCTCTACTCGCTGATGCTGTTCCGCAGTGTCTCCTTCTCCTGCAGCGCTGCCATGGCCAGGCGTAGGTGCTCCTTCAGCTGCTCGATCTCCCGCTCTGAGCGCAGCTTGATGTTGTTCAGCTCCACATAGACGTCCTGGTACTTCCCTGAGGCAAATCTCTTATCCTGCAACGGAAGGTGAGGAATCACCACCCAGCTCCTGGTATTCATCCCAGGGGAGGGCCGCCCCCACCAGGAGGAAAGCCAGGGAGAACAAGACCTAGGTGTCAATTTGAGCCTCAGCCAGGCAAGCAGTGGGAGCCCAGTAGAGACCCCCACAAGATGGGACAGGCATGGCATCCACAGAGATCAATTCAGACTGGCTGTTCGGAGACAGGTGGAGGGGGACAAGAGGCCGGGCAGCTATAGAGCAACAAGTCATTGCGGACTGGTAGGGCTGGTTTCTGGAAGCTATTCAGCAACAGGTGGATTAAGAGTTGGGGGCTAGAGGAGTAGACAGTTGTCTATAGCCACCAGGAAGAGGGGCCTGTGCAGGGGTGTGTGACTAGGAGCAACAGGAAATTTGCTGGATCTCAGGAAGGTTCCCCTAATGGCAAGATCCAGTCAGTTCTGAAAGTCTCCTAAGGCAGGAAGTGGTGGAAGCCACCTTGTTTGGGCCATTTAGAATAGAAGCCGACACAGTAATGGCAAATATACTTCATGTAGCAAGCCCACCCTGGCCAGGGGAAGGAGCATTAGGACCCTCAGTAGAGGTCGCCCTTCTCTAATGTCAACACTGTGGTGAGGGTGATGGGGAGAATACCGGTGAGAGGCCTGGACATGGGTGGGCTGACACAGTCAAGTAGGGGGAAAGAAGGCAGACAAATTGAAGTTCTAGCTGGATTTCACTGTTTTTTCCCCCACCTAGAAGGGCTCCCAATACTGGGTACGTGCACGCCCCCCTTGCTCTGGGGGTTAATGACCAACAGTGGCAGGAAACCAATGTGAATCCAATAAAAATAGGAGACCCAAACCACTCCTGCTCAGCATTCATGCTCTGTAGGATTTCCAAGGTCCTTGCTTTCCCCACATCATTTTCCTGCCTCCAACTTAAGCGAGTCTTTACATCCCTCCCCTCAATAAAAAGAGCCCCCGGGAAGGAGAGAACAGCTCCCAGGAAATGGTACCTTTTGCATCATCTGGAGCTCATCCTTAAGACACTGAACTTCTTTCTTCAGGTACCGGAGTTCATTCTCCTTCACTCGAAGCAGCACCTGTGAAGAAGAGGAGGAGGAGAAGAGACTCCAGGGACCAAGCTGAGAGATTATGGCCTCAGTGCAGGGCAGAAGGGGATGTTGGAGGGGGTGGGGAAGGAAGAGCCAGGAGCACGAGGCCAGGAAGTGCTGCAGCTCTAGAGCTAGACGCAGTGGCACAGCTGAGCGGGGGAAGTTTGCGTAGCAACTTCCTGCACTGCAGCTTGTGCCATGCCTGCTGCAGAAGCGGCTCAGCAGCACACCGCACCAGCAGGCCTCTTTACCTCGAGCTCACAGGAGCTCCTCTCGCCGTTGTGCAAGGCCCCATCCCCTGTGCCCTGCGAGGTGATGAAGGTCCGTAACCTCTGGATCTCTTCCGACAGGCATGTCTGCAGCTCCTGCAGACCAGAGTGGAGTCATCAGGGGAGTGCACATGCACCCACAAACCAGAGCCCGCAGGCAGATGAGAGCCAGCCAGGCCCATACTGCTCCCTCCTCAGATGCTCTCCCCCTCCCCCAACCCCAGCTTAAAGGACCCCCGTCTCCTACTTCGCTTTGGACAGCACAGCTCATTTGTTAAGGGATTTCTGGCTCCAGAGGGAACGTGCCCCCTGGGATCTTCCAGCCTGCTGTGCAGAAGGCTCAGCCCTCTGGGCAAGCGGGTCTCTTGCCTGGTTCTGCCGGAGCAGCTCCTTCCCCTCCTGTTGGCAGCGCTGCAGCATCTGCTCCCGCTCTTCTGCTTTCTCTGTGAGGTCACCGATTTCCAGGCACTTCTGGGAGTATTGCTCGGAGAGAACCTGCAACTCCCGCTTCAGAGAGTCCACGTCCAACCTGCCACAGCCACTCAGAACATTACTTCAGAGAAACGGGATGCCCCCAGCCCCTTCCCAGGGCCCACTCTCTATCCCCGGCTATGGACACCACTTGCTGCCCCTGCCCACGTTCACATGGCCGTCACCCACGGCCACCGCTGTTACTCAGAAGGGTCTCCTCCCCTGAGCAGCTGGTAATCAGAGAAGGGGAACCCACTGAAGGTGGGAGAGGAAAGAAGCAAAGAATATAATAGGAGAAAGCAGGGAGCACAATAGCCTGTTCAGGTCTAGTGGAGAGGGGATATCCTGCTCTCACCTGCATGGTTAGCATCTCAAGCCATTGCATCCCCCCCACCCTTCCCTGGAAGCAGCACTAGGAGGCAGGCTAGAAGCTAATCCTGGCTCTTTGGAAGGCAGAGAGGGATGGAATATAAAAATCCACCCTTCAGCCCAATGTTGAAGGGAATGGCACCCCTCCAACTTGCCCCACTGGGCAAGAGCTACCTAAAAAGTGACCTAGCAAGCATGGAACCTGGCCTGGGCAGCAGCCACATGGAGGGAACAGGGCAGAAGGGACTGTGCAGAGACTCCTTACTGGTGCTGTCTCCGGAGGGCCTCTGAGCCTGACCCACTCTGCTGGAAACTGCGTGTCCTGCCCAGCTCCCTAGTCAGCTCCTCCTTGTGCACCTTCTTCAGCGCTTCGATTGCTAGGGAGGAGGAGAAAAGGAGACGTGGAGTTAAGTGTCCCGAGAGACCCAGCCGCTCTCCAGCTTGGCAGAGGGGGGCGGTGGGAACTGAACAAGGGAGTTCCTGAGGACTCCCCCCTCCCATCTACTACCAGAAACCCCAGCTCCAGGAACGGCTCAGAATTTTCCCTCTTCCTCCACTCTGTTCTGGGCATCTTCCCGGGGGCTAACTCCTATCGTGCCAAGCCACAGCAGGCAGCCCCAAGCACTGCTCATGGGCGGTGCTACAGTCTGAAGTTTCCTGCTGCAGCGTCCATGCAGAGACTCCCCTCTCTTAGCTGTGGTAAGGCCAATTCCCAATGTACACACAGGTGGTGGGGAAGAAAGGGGCTTCCGGGTCAGGTCTTGCTTGTTAAAAATGGAATCCCATCTCAGACCCAGGAGACGGGGATGAAGGGCACAGGGAGAGAAGTCCAGTGTGCATGGGGCACTCAGCCACGTGGGCATCTATTTGGCCAACAACAGGGCGGAGGGGAAAGGAGACAGACACAATCTTGCCAGCCTCAGCCAGCGGAGTTGCTTGCTCACCACCTCCCTTATCCAAGGAGGAGGTATGGGGAGGGGTTTTTCCAGTCTTACTTCTGAGCCCATAAAGGGAGGGCAGCTGCCTATGACCTTATCCATACAGGGATAGCTAGCAGCATGGGGCTATATACACAGCACAGGCTCCTTGGAGTTTCATGGCCAAGGAGGCCGCAGAGAACATGACAGACGAGGGCAGATAGTTGCAGTGTGTTCGACCCACCCGTCTTTTCAAAGAAATCTTGTTAGCTCAGATTTGGATCTCAGCCAGCAACCCTCCCACTGCACAGCCTAAAGGGGAACGACTGCTACAGTGACGCAGAGGCCCCAGCCAAGATCAGGGCCCCATTGTGCTAGGTGCTGTACATACACAGAGAGAGCCCCTGCCTCAAAGAGGTTATAAAGGTCAGGGGAGGACCAAAACCTGGGAGAGGAAGTGACTTGCCCAAGGTCACCGGCAGAGCTGGGATTAGAACCCAAGTCTCCTGACTCTCAGAGCAATGTCTTAGCGCCTGGACCACACTGCTTCCCTGCAGCACCACTGCCCGACCTTGTGCTTTACAGACATGGCCTAGCCCAGAGAGGCTGCCACCCACTGAGGCCAGCAGGAGCTGAGGGTGCTGAGCACCTTGGAGGCTCATCGTTCTGGGACGCACCTTAGCTTAGAGAGACCCAAGAGATATTCCAGGGAAGGGAGCACTGGGGGATTCCAGGGGAGGTGGCGAGTGGACTCCCAGGAAAGTTTGAAAGAGGAGAAAGGGGACAAGGGGCAGCAGGCAGCCATCTCCCCAACCTCTAGGTGCTTGGGTTCTTGCTCCTACCTGCAGCTGTGGCCGCAGCTTCCTCAGCCAGGAGCCGCTCTTTCTCCTGCCGCAGCCGCTCCAGCTCCCGCTGATGGTGCCGCTGGAGCTCGGTCATGACCTGCTGGTGAAGAGATTCCATCTCTGCCAAGCTGCGCTCACATGCCTCCTGTCACGCAGAAGAGGGGAGAAAGAAAAACAGGTGAAGGGGAGCGGGACCGAGACACAGAGAGATGCTGTAAGATGCCGTACGACTGGACTGGCATTTGCTGTGCACTACAGGACACCCAGGCCCACCACCAACATTGAATCAGAGAGGGGAGGTGAATACTCTCAAGAGGGAGGAAAGTGTCTTATTAAGAAGATAAAGATGTTAAATAAGGCGTTCCATCCTTAGATCTCAAAGTGCTTGACTAAAGTATCATCCCCCATATCTCATATGGGGAAACTGAGGCGCCTACTGGGAAGTGACTTGCCCAAGGTCACCCAGCACATCAGTGGCAGAGAAGGGAATAGAGCCTAGGTCTCCCGAGTTTCAGTCCAGTGCTCTATGCACTAAGCCACACTGCCTGATGCAGCAAAGTGCCTGGCTTTATGACAGGGATAAAGAAACATTCCCCTAAGTATTGAAAGCTGAGCTGCCTCTTAAGGAAAATGAAACCAATCGCAACCTCCCTTCAATGCAGCCATGTGCTGTTACAGGCCCTCTCCAAAGAGGGTGGATTCTCTAAGCAGATTAGCAGACATTCATAATATGATCTTCTGTCTTTTACAAGTCTGATGTGCAGGGGGACTTAACACCACAGACTTTAAAATACCCTCACTGGCACTGGCGCTGGCACTCACTGAAATTAAGTTCATGCCTCTGAGCTACTGTTCCAGGCTCTCTACAAATTCAAGCAGAGTCACTGCACCAGTGAAGCATGGTCATTTTTTAAGGTCTCCTTTTAAACCATAACTAGAGAATCTAATTTAGAAGAACAACAAGGAGTCTGGTGGCACCTTAAAGACTAACAGATTTATTTGGGCATAAGCTTTCGTGGGTAAAAACCTCACTTCTTCGGATGCAACACGGCTACCCCCTGATAATTTAGAAGAGTCCTTCAGAGTCTCAGCTGATGGTCAAGAGGCCAGCCGGCTTCTCCTCCATAGTCCTTCGCCTGCCGCCCCCTCCACTCCCTAAACCCAAAGGAGCACACCCCACACTTTGGGAAATGCTGCTCACACTAAGATAGAGCGCTGCACCCTGGGACCTGTAGTCTGCAGCTGGTACTAGAGCAAGGGCAGCTGCTCTTTGATCCACTTTGAGTTAATGCAACCCATTGACTCCAGGCAAATCATCAACATGATCCTCAGTGGGGCAAAACATGGGTGCCCTGTGATTTGCCCAGAAATTGGCTATCAAACATTGACAGGTTAATGGGAGGGAGACAGAAAGCCATCCTTTAGGGGAGGGGCAGTTTGGACTTCGAAGTTACAAAATCTCATATCAAGGGCTGATGAAGGAAGTTGATTAGATGCTATTTTTACCATGTGAACGGTGGCTTGTAATATTTATCAAGCTCACAGGGCTGCTTCTAACCTGCTGTATTAGTTGCCCCACACTGTGACAGGTATAACAGATCAGTTGCAATAATCCAGCAACATGGAGATCTTGTCTTTTTGGCTGCTAATAGAGAAGGTACGTGACTGGGTCACTTCCATGGGATTTCCCCTTTTACTTTACATGAGTAACTGGCATTACATTAGCATGGTAAAATTAGGGTCAGATTCTGAGCAGCACTCCATGAGTTCTGGCTCCAGTTCTGTTCAATATCTTCATTAATGAATTAGATAATGGCAGGGACAGTAAACTTATAAAGATTGCGGGTGATACCAAACTAGGAGGGGTTGCAAGTGTTTTGGAGGATAGGATTAAATTCCAAAATGGTCTGAAGCAAATAGGATGAAATTCAAGAAGGACAAATGCAAAGTACTCCACTTAGGAAGGAACAGTCAGTTCCCCACACAGAAAATGGGAAAGGACTGCCTAGGAAGGAGTACTGCGGAAATGGATCTGGGGGTCATAGTGGAACACAAGGAAAATATGAGTCAAGAGTGTAATGCTGTTGACAAAAAAAAAAAAAAAGCAAACATTCTCGGAAGTATTAGTGTCATAAGCAAGACACGAGAAATAATTCTTCCACTCTGCACTGATTAGGCCTCAGCTGGAGTATTGTGTTCAGTTCTGGGCACCACATTTCAGGAGAGATTTGGACAAATTGGAGAGAGTCCAGAGAAGAGCAACAAAAAGGATTAAAGGTCTAGAAAACATGAGGGAAGATTGAAAAAAATGGGTTTGTTTAGTCTGGAAAAGAGAAGACAGAGGGGACAGGATAACAGTTTTCAAGTACATAAAGGGTTGTTACAAGGAGGAGGAAGAAAAATTGTTCTCGTTAACCTCTAAGCCCATTGCTGCTTGTCCTATCCTTAAGTTGCAGCAAGGGCAGTTTAGGTTGGACACCAGGAAAAACTTCCTAACTGTCGGGGTAGTTAAGCACTGGAATAAATTGCCTAGGGAGGTTGTGGAATCTCCATCTTGGGAGATTAAGAGCAGGTTAGACAAACACCTGTCAGGGATGGGCTAGATCAGGGGTAGGCAACCTATGGCACGTGTGCCGAAGGCAGCATGCGAGCGGATTTTCAGTGGCACTCACACTGCCTGGGTCCTGGCCAACGGTCCGGGGGCTCTGCATTTTAACTTAATTTAAAATGAAACTTCTTAAACTATTGACTTTACATACAACAATAGTTTAATTATATATTACAGACTTATAGAAAGAGACCTTCTAAAAACCTTAAAATGTATTAGTGGCACAGGAAACCATAAAGTAGAGT